TTGCTTGGATTATTTGATTTCCCATTTAGAAGATGCCTTAACAATATTCTTTTATTGTCCGAACTCAAAAAATTCTACAATGAAGTTAAATTTTGGGGCTTTTTGACATAGCTAATTAGAGCATGGCTTCAAGTTGACACATGTTCCCTCTTAGATTTTGGACATGATTTTATAATTACTTCAAATACGATTCAGAGACCTCAATTCGACAAAAAATCAGTTTAACCCCATTAAATTGATTGATAATATTGTCTCCGATGAAATGATGTTCTAAATTATAGATATGAATTAGATTAGTTAGTCAAGTTAATGTGATTTGCATTGTACATGGGTTCGAATCTCCCTCCTCTTGTATCAGAGCAGTTTAGGAAATTGCTTATATCAAAACAATATTTCAACTTAAAATTTATTAATTATTCTTTTCTCATACATGTTATGGCATATATATATGAGAGGATACATAAAGGTGACGCTTTGAATTTTAAAATATGTGGGAAGTAAGAAATTATATATGTTAGCAAGAAGCTTTTAGTTTAATTGGTTATAAGATCATATTTTCTGCTCTCGAGGTCTTGCGTTAAAGTCCTTCTCCCCAACATCTATTATATAAAAGACAAAAAAAAAAAAAAAAAAAAAAAAACCATATATGTGTGTATGTGGCAGAATATTATGCACACAACACAATAGACGCTGGTGCTCCAAATTTATGATTTCAGTTTATTAGTTGATTGTGTATGAATTAGAGGGCATAAATAGAATAATGTTCAGTTAACGTCTGGAATTTTTATTTTCTGTAATATAATACGTCTACCTTATATTCTTCTTATTAGAAGGTTCGTGTCTTCCACTCCTGCCGCCCATGAAGGCAGCTCGTAATACACTTCACGTCAAAGATAGAGATTGGAGATTTGGTGGTGCCCTAAAGTCACACGCATATATATGACCCTTCCATTTATTCGTATGTATACTAGTTTTTTTATTTGATAGAGAATCAAGTTTTGTTTATAGCCAGGCATTGTTCTATTTGTTAATACTATATACTATTGTTTCATTTGTTAATACTATATATGCTTAATTATTATATTGTAAAGGTATTATTATGGATAAATACTTTGATCCATTTTATGGCAAGTATCATTTTATCCATTTCTTATCGTTAATGTATTTTAACTGTACAAATCTCGTAACAAAAATTGTTCTTTTATTTATTTATTTATTTATTTATTTATTTTTAACATCATTTAAATACATTAATGTACTCTTAAGATAAAATCTCAACCCGTGGGGCTGCAGGTACCATGGATCTTCTGACTCCCAATTGGGAAGCAGTAGCTTCTTGGACTAAGCTGAGTTGATATGATAGTTAGGCGAATGAAGCGATTAATATCAAATTTAATAGTGCGTAACCATATATTTCTAATAACAAGCTAGCTAGTAACCAATAGTAAATAACTCGATAAGTAGATATTCAGGGTAGTAGCTTCAACGTTTATTTGACAACTGTAGCTTTTGTAATAGTTTTGAAGCCTCCCTTCTTCTTAATAATAATGTTTTTTTTTTTATAAACATACACACACACACACACTGTACACAATATAAGAAAAACGAGATGAAGTTAATCATGTCATTTCGACATGCTTTTCGTTCAAGTTAGATACGGATGATTTCAAATTATTGCTTAGGTCGAACTTAATTTGTACGTGTCACTCTTTGAATCTGCGGGTCATGATTTGTTATAATTTGATTTACAAATTACTTTAAAAAAGTTCTGCATGCTATCTCATCTGAAAGCTATAGCTTCCATCCTCTTGTCGTCGTTTATGGAAAGAATGTCTATCAAGCACCAGAGACATTTGAGGGAAGTAACTCAACCAATCCATTGACTTTAACAAGTTTGATTAAAGATCTAACTTTAGAGTAAACTTAATACTTAAAACTGTTCTGGAAAATTTTTGAGCTTGACGGTCACACTGCTATCCATGTTTGATGTTAATTACTAATGAACATGTATAATATGTACGGACGTATTGTGGATATTTTATGTACTTAGAGTATAGTATTAACAAATAAATACTCTTATTACAATATGAGTAAACTGGTAACATCACGTGACAATATTCTAATATTGAAAAGCTCTTGTTAGAACGAGAACATTGTAAAATGGGAAGGATTTGTACTTCCAAACCCATTTGATCTTAATTAAATTCTTCCATTAATGTTTAAATTTTCTTGGTTAGAAAGCACATTACATACTTGAAATCCTATAGCAAACAAAGAAACCTTTCCATATGGCCTAGCTTGATCGATCTTGTACTCCCCTTCCCTCGTACTGAAAATATTGTACCAGGCAACAACAACATTAAATAAATTAAAGAAATTAAGATTTCTTAAGCAGCATTTTGGTCAATTAGGTGGAACCTACTAATCAACCAGAAACAAAATGCATGGTTTAATGTGGACATTTTGTGATGGTGATACACGCTGGATTTGGTAAAAATCTAAGATTCCAAGCAAGTCTTTGGAATGACATGACACAAAATAAAATTAGTCCTTCAAGCAAGTTTTTGATGGTGATACATGCTGGGTGTGGCAAAATCTAAGATTCCAAGTAATTTAATCCTTCAAAATCAAGCAATTAAACTCATTGCTACCAATGCATTTCGTGTCCTTTCTCATTCCATTCATTTTATTTGCATGCTCAAAAATTTTAAATTGCCAGAAAGCTAAACAAACAAAATAGTATTAATAAGAATAAATAATCAGCAAGAATAATGGCGGATTCAAAAACTTTTTTTTTTTCGGGGATCGACTTGTGCTCTAACACGAACCAACAAAGATAAATTTTCGCTCTTATTAAGAAGCTTAAAAGATAAGTCAACAGTCCATTTTTGCTTACCCATTAACCCTGATCCAACCTATCTCCATTCAGAATCGTGTCATGTGTCTAAAGCGTATGCATTCTTTGAATATTTTTTTTTTTCTCAATGCGTTCTTTGAATTATACATGGTTTTTTCTAGTTAGAAGGGGGGTAAGGTTACACCAAGATTATGAGTGAACGAAGACTCATCAATAACCACCACAAATTCCCAATGAAAACCAACAGTGTCTCTATCGACCCAAAGATAAACCAATAGTTTCTCAACAGAATATTGATTGTGTTCCAAGATAACTAAATTAAAAGGAACTTAATTAGGTAAATGATCTTCCAGAGATATAGGTCATATCAGGCTCAAGCTGCTCAATTCTATATAATTGACCCAAAAAATATTCGGCTCCATGTTGATCTCAATTATGTGGCCCAAAAGATAAGAAAGTCTTTGTAATCCCGCAGGCAAATTAGTGGCCCGAGTCCAAAGATCCTACTTATCATACACTATTGGCTGAGGCTGCTGAGCTCCTCATCAGATTCTGTGATTTTTCTGACTGGTTTGGTTTCTATACTCCTCCAATGAGAGCAAAAGAAAATTGTAATCTATTCAGCTTATAGAGTAGACAGATAAAAGACGAGTTTCAAATCGCTATCCTTAAACAACTATACATTAACACAGCTGTAATTCATTTATCTATCTTGCGATTCAAGAAAATTTTACTGTATAAACAATTACATTACATTTTTTAACCATTGAATATGACAGATTTATCTTTTACCCCGGCATGATATAGAATGGTAGTTACTACTAATTTAGTAATGTATGTTATATTTTGTTTGTATGGTAAAAAATGATGCTTCGAAGTTAGAATCCATGCCTTCAAGTTTCATAAAGTAGCTTCTAGCATACATAGTAACATACTCTAATTTGGAAGCTTTAATATTAATGTCTTCCCTCTCCATCCTTATCAACAAACGTGGCTGGTAATGTATCCTTAAAAGTTAATTCATCTTTTTGGTCAGCTCAAAAACGATTCCTCAGCATTTGTGAGATGAAAGAACACAACAATGTTAATGAGTGCATGAACATGCATGAAATAAAGATTACAAGAAGTTAACAACAATAAAAAAAACTTTATTTTATTAAGTGAGGTCGGTTGTATGAATTTTAGAATGCAATTGCACTCAGTTTTGCGCAAGTCTTTTATTAGCTCCAAGGTTTAAGATTCATTATCATAGGGATTCGACGTGAAAATAAAGTGCCGATTGTCGACTACTTGACGTCCACCTCCTCCTCCTTTATTCAGGCTTGAAACCTACAACATAAGATAAACTTAAACATGCGGAGTTGCATTATGCAATGATTAAGACCTACATTTTGTTTCAAAGATAATCTATTAGACTTTGGTAAAGTCATCATCTAACGCAACATGTAATGTAATGCGTGGGTTCAAAGTTGCTTAAAGTCGTCCAATGCCAATGGACGATTTCTATTATTTTCAACATACAAACTTAAGGTAGAGCTTATAATGTATACACTCTCATCACCCCGCTTTGCAAGTAACACGAAAAGGCCTCGTAGTAGTGTTGCAATCATTCCAAATAGGCGTGGATATAATATTGACATCAAATTTTTTTTTATTTATTGTTAAATTCTCGAATTGTCATAAAGAAGTGATATCAGCGCTCTTGTAATCTGTTAACGTACACGCCTTATTGGTTATTTATTCTTCATCATTCAACTTTTACGTTCGCTCTTATGTGTGTAGTTAATACGGAGTGAGAAAGGAATCAATGAATGCAAAATAACAATTGAGGAGCGAGAAAGGAAACATAATGAAAAAAAAGTGAAGCTATGAGTTCGCGTTCGTATCTTGGTATAATTTAATGACTTCGTATACAAGCGTTTTCCCCAAAAAGAAAAAACCCAATAAAAACTAATGACTTGGCATCTCATAAACAATGACTTGGCATGGGATTGGACTCAAAGCACGTGGAAAAGCCAAAACTCAAAAACGAAAAGCAAAAGCTATCGCCCTTGTACACACGAAAGGTCGTTCAAAGTTGAGAGTCTTCAGCTATAAATATGCTCCTCTGTTTTTCATAACATCTCTTCTCTGCCAAGTCCTCATAATTGTCCACTTCATCAAATATAAACACACTTCTCTGTTTTTTCCTCTTTTTTTTTTTTTATGGTTTCACAAGAAAACAAAAATATATAAATTATTTATTTATTTGGATATTGAAGAAGAGAAGCCGTTAGGTTTGTTTGGTTCCTAGGAAAACAGAAAAAAACAGAGTCGTCCGAAAGCGTAGGCAGAGCGAGTGAGAAAGGAAAATTTGCCTCCGAAAATTGATGGGATCACAAAAGTAGTAAACTGTAAAACTCCCAAAACATTCATCTCCCCTTTCTCTCTGGGATTTATTTTCAATTATTATTAGCGAAATTTAGAATTTTTTTTTTGAAAAGAATCTCTCTTTGGAGAGCTAGAGCTCGCTGTGTTATTTCCTTCCGAAGCTCCCATGGCGTTTCTTCATCGGGTTTGCAGTTGATGTCCTCCCCCTCCTCAGGTAATTACATTTTTATTTGATATTCTCGTTTGGATTCATGGGTTGAAATTGGAATTATCAGATTTATTGGCTTCTTTTTTCTGTGTACCATTTTGATAGTGGTTGTTTTTGGTCATTTGGGTTCTTTTTATATTTTTTTTTGGGTTTTTCAATTTGTAGATCTTGATTTGTGAAGTCAAATTATCACATCTGACATTGAACTGAAATTATATTCCTAGAGGGATGAAATTATATATTTTATTGAAATTTCACAAGGAAAGATAAAAGAATTCACTTTTCAAAATACAGAAAATATTACCATGTTGCTATTTCATCTTATATGAATGAAAAATCTCAGAAATCGATGTAGGGATGGTTAAAGTTTGGAACTTGGGTGCAGACGTGGGTTTAGGTATGTTGGCTCAAGCGGATGTGCTCCTTCTCCTACGCACCCAAGTCCTAATCTCCGTCCTGGAGATCAAATTAGTTTAAAGTAGAATATCGTTTATAACATTGTATCAAGAAAACAAAAAGTTTGGAACTTGATTGTGTACTTATGGTATGGTAGATATAAAGATGTTGATGATTTGAATTATAATGATGACGGTGAATTGAACTTAATCCTTTCATAGTGGAAGAATATCTGATGAAACCTTGTCGTGTGGAATCGGACAATCTGATTTCTGTGTTGGGATTCTTTCAACAATTGTGGTAAAACCTGTAGCAATGAATGAAAATGGTGGCACCAAGTTGACCGGAATCAGGCAGATTGTCAAGTTCAAAGAAATTCTGCAGAAGTGGCAAGCTGTCACCCTTGGCTCGAGGGCAAACAGCCCCCGAGCCAAAAGTAGTCCCCATTCTGAAAAAAGAGGAGGGGAGAGCACCACTCCCCGTTCTGAACGAGGCCATGGGGGCATTTCACCGGCAATTAGCAAGAGGCTAACAAATGTTCTTTGTGATTCCGACGAGGATATATGCCACAGTCCCGAACCGCCACCTGATGTCCCCCAAGGGTATTTGGCGGTTTATGTTGGACCGGAGCTTCGGAGGTTCATCATTCCCACTAGCTACCTCAGTCACTCCCTTTTTAAAGTATTGCTGGAGAAGGCTGAGGAGGAATATGGGTTTGATCATGGCGGCGGGCTCACAATCCCATGTGAGACTGAGACCTTCAAGTACCTCTTGAAGTGCATGGAGAACCATCAGAAAGCTCACCCTGATGACATCCCAGGTAAAAAACCACATACTTTACCAGTTACCTTTACGTTTTAGTGCCTTATAGATCAAGTCATCCTCTTTGATACCCATAATGAATTCTAAAACTCTCTAACCGCCGGTATATCTCAAGTCAATCACACAATCTTACACGTTTCAACCTACTTTCTCATATGGATGTGTGTAATTAAGATAAAATATCGACACAGTAACATCACAGGTGCATAAAAGTACTCCGGAAATAGGCCCTTCATCCATTTTCAATTTGATGGGTCATGGATCCACATTGCATAAATAATATTACTGTTTTCTTCACGAAATAGGTTGCTAGTTTTATTGATGTTAATTTGGTATTGTTGGTGGTTTTGCAGCTGGAGACTGGAAACTCATTCAATGAAGAGTAAGTGATCGTGATGAAGCTTTTTATTAGTGGTCCAGGTTTTTAGGGGTGTGATTTTCTGGTGTAAAGCAGGGTCTCTCCTTGTATTCAGACATCTTTTTAATTTTTCTCTTTTTATTTTTTATTTTTAATTAAAGAACGATTAGAGAAACTTTAGTTAGATATTTTTAAAGGTGTGGTGCCTACAATTTGGTGCTTAGAGTGGTGGTATTGTTAACCTCTCTATTTTCTCTGATTGAGTGTTACCTACATCTGATATTTGATCCTCAAAGTATGAAACACATTTGTCCTCCATCACAAAATATGCCAAATATTAATTAATTTCCTAATAAATATATGGTTGCCTAACAAGTTCTAGCCAGCTTAAGAAATGATTTTACAAGCTTTTTTCGCTCCCAGCATCTTTGTTTACTTATGTCTCTTTATTTTCTTTTGTTTTATTCGATTCAAATATCTAAAATAAACATAAATGTGCTCGATAAGAAATATCGTTTCAGGGGATAATTTGATGTCGCGTGCTTAAGGACAATACCCACGTACAATCTCTCACTTTCTCTCTTCACATGGTTTCCAGGATCACAATCCTTAACCTACATAATTATTTTTCCAGTGGCCGTTGCTAATTAAGGTCGTAGTTAATATTATATACAACTTGATGGCAGTTATCATGTGAAGGACCAAATCAAATTGCAGACTTTATTTTAATGAGATATACTTCATAATCGAAAATAGCTAAAAATCTCTCATCGTCTATTGGTACGAAGACCGCATTGTATAGGACCTACAAAAGGTTAAACTGCTTGAGCCTTGGAATCGTGTGCTTTTTTGTTTTTTGGGTAACATAAAAGGGTGAATCATCGTAAACTAACTTAAAGAGTAGTTACAAATAAGGTGAATCCTAAAAATTCTATCATATCATCACATAAACAATATATATTTAGGTTGATTCTTAAAATATTGATAACCAAGATTCATATTACAACTCCAATTAACAAGATCATTTGTAATCATGTTTTTACTTTAGTATATATGAATTAAATTGTCTGCAACACTGCACTGATACATATGAGGAGTGACTTTCCTACTTTCTTTTATCTTTATGCACTATTCTTCTTAATCTATACATTACAATTATTCTTTTATTTATTCAATTCAACAGTTAAAAAAAAATTGCAAGAAGTGAAAGTAGGAGTTCATAAATCATTCTCTTACAAGAGAACTGTGCACGCAAAGGGTCGATTTGGGGGTGGGGGTGTTGTCTGTCTGGGTTGGGGGAGAGAGCTTTTCCGCCGCACTGCCGCAGCAGGAATAATCATATATCATACAAAGCGAAGTTTTCAAATTAAAAGGCTAGGCTTTTTCCAGCGAATTGTAGTCTTTAATTTTGCCTTCTGGGTTGTACATGTCGGCCAACTTGGATCACAAATCAAAGATTACGAAGAGGAAATTTTTAGCCAAGTCGGAACTTATTTTGGAAGCCCATTTTACCCAACAACCCGCAATGTCCCATTGATATTACTACCGGGTTAATTGTTTCGCGGAAATATGTACACATTAGCTTCTAAAGGTACCAAAAATTTTCATCACTCTGGAGCCAATATAAATATGCATGATAGGATTGAGATAATGTCACTTTTGCGTCTTTGTTGCATGTAAATTTCTCTGCAGTTTTTGAGAACGATAACATAGATGCTTAAACAACACTAGAATTATTGGCACGGTTGGAACTTATGCAATAATTTAGAATAGAGGCGGAAGAATAAAAATTAGTTGTGGTCCTTGTGCAAGAGAGAAAATTCATAGTAAATAGTTGTTAGTTACAATGATAATTATATGATGTGGTATAACTCCTAGCTAACCCCAAGGGATTGGTCAAGAGTTGAAGCCTCCAATTCGAGTTCGAGCTCCCATGGATGCATGCATTTTTGGGGTCATCAGGTTTGTTTTGGCGTAAGGTTTGACCGAAAGACAAAAATATGACCGTCTCGTACACTATTAAAGCTGCATGAGGATGTGGATTAGTTTGTTACCAATGTGTGGTAGGTTATCTCCTCTATCCAAGAAAAAAAAAAATCAAATACTATGTGGTGTATAGAAACCCCAATTTTCACTAAATAACTTGCTTTTCTTGCAAAGTTACAAGCTTACAACATGGGGTAAACTATATACACATGGTAAGACACTTACAGGAGAGCACATTAATGCTGGCCTGGCTAGTTTCCCTTGACCTTCAACCTAGTATTCCTCATTTTATTTACTACATTGATACACACATATATATACTGATGATATGAGCAGTATACATATATATAATTCATATCTTGGGAGGTGGGAGAACCCACTTTGTTCCTTTGATGAAAGTCAGGCTGAGAAAGGGCTTTGCTTCTTCATCAGATAACATTCTTGCATACTTGACCCGACCCGATGAGCTCGAACCCGGTCCCATACACTTGTACTCTCCATAAAACACAGTCCTACAACAAAATCACCATCATCGTCGCTTAAACTTATCATTTGTATTTTTAATAAAGTTAACATACATGTTATCTATTCTTTTTAGATTGTCTCATGATGCGCATATATATTTAAATTATCAAACAATCATGTTAATTTTTGCTTGAACATAAATTTTTAGTGTGACATTGTAAATCTAGCAAGATAACATTATTAAGAGGGTGCTTACTTGTCACGCTCGGTATGCATGTAGTCAGACCATCCTTGTTTATCGATGAGAGAGCCCATGTATGTGTAAGCAAACACAACCCTAGGTCTCTCCCTCCAAGCTCGCCCAAGAAATGTGTCACCTGTCCCCGTTATGTTGCAATGCACAAATGCAAAACCACTATCGTCTTCCACATTTTCCCTAGCATGTGCCGTTATCACCCCCATACCATTTGCAACTGAATGTATCATATTATTCTGCAATACAAAATATTCATTAATTCTGAATCTAAAACTAAAAACAATATTTACGTACAGTTATAAAATTGTATTATAATTTGGCTAATTAATTGGGTTAATTTTAATTATTCAACGAATTACCAAGTAGAGGGATTTGCCATTGCCAAAGATGAAATCGACCGTGCCTTGGATGTGGCAATCCTTGAAGAAATGTCTCCCCCTATCATCCAATAACGTGTCTTGAAATCCTATGAACCTGCAGTTGTGGAACGCTGCCTTGTCTCCTGATATCCTCATCGCCACCGCCTGTGCCCCCGGCCTTATTCCGTCCGGCATCGGAGCTGAATTCTATAAAAACAAACACACCATGCATGCATGATCATCATTAGTCGAATTATAGAACTCTTTATTTTACAAACTTAAAAGAAAAATATAATTAAACTGGTAGTTAAAGCTGATTTATTCATCTTCACATGTTTTTGCCCTCCCTAGTCCCTATTAAAATCGTGGGGTTTTTTTTTTTTTTTTTTTTCCCTCTCTGTCACCAGGAAAGCTGCCGTGTCTATAGATATTTTGGTTTTGCAGATTAGCATTTTCCATGCTGCAGTTTACACTTCTGGCCATTGTTGTGACTAGGTCATGATTAAGTTTCATCCACAAACCGTCAAACGATATCCATCAATTAATATCATCGTATCTCATATGTATAACGCGTATCATTAATATTTTCATTCACACATCTTCAATCACAGTGGCTTGATGATATGCAGATCTACACCTAACTCAAGTTAGATAAGCCGTGTTTCTTTGAACTCAAGTTCAGATTCACCTTTTCGTAGCTTAGATTAGATAATCAAAATATCGTTTACAAATAAAATAGTGCCTTGATGATGTAATGACAAGCGTTTAAAAAATGTACCATATGATGATGAAGTAAGATTGTAAGATTTTAATTAGGGCAATTAATTTGTTAAAGAAAATATTGAATTGCTAGTGTTTTTAAAGGGAAGCAAAAACCAAAACATGTCCAAGACTCCAAACCTATTTCAGGGAAAGGTAATAAATCTTAATAGCCAGATCCATTCGTCATACTTTTCCTAGGTCTATCTTTCCATTCCCTCATGACCTCATCACTGAAAATAACCACAAACAATGCCATATATGCGTTCCGTTTTGTGTTCTTTCTTTTTCTTCAAGACAGATAGCAATAGATACAACGACACAAAATGTGAAGAATAAAACAAAAGAACAATTTTTCTTTATGGAAAATAATAAAAGTATTTGAACATACAAAATTAACATATTGGTTAATACTCTTTAATGCGGAGCGGATTCTATCATTATATATGAGTTCCTCCTATCTATTAAGGGTAGTGATATTTACATACTCATTTTTATCTCCTGCACACTCTTGTTAATTTTTCTCTATTGATTTTCTTCAATTCATACGATCCGACAACCAAATAATTGAGAGAAGTATATGACAGATAAAAATAGATGTGTGGATAACATCATCCTATATTAAAGAGTATGTCAACAAATATGTCAATTTTATTTGTCAAAATAGCATCGTCAAATAATAACGCACATGCATATCAAATATCATGTTAAGAAATTCCAACAACCAAAAAAAAAAAAAAATCATGTTAAGAAACGACATCAGAATTAAAAGAATTATGAACAAAACGGCAAAAACCATCATGACATGATATTATAACTCACCACGAACGCAATATTGACGGCCACGAAGTAGTCGGACTCCACCGCCACCGTGGAACTATTCCACGTCCCGTACTTCAACGCCGTGCCATCGAACGTGATTGACGGCACGTCGTTCTGGTCCCCGTAAAACGTCACGAACGGCTTCGACGCGTCAACAAGAATCTTCTCCGTATACACGCCCCCGCCGATGAAAACCACGACGCGCCTTGTGTTCCCAGAAGGAATGCTGTTCACGGCGTCTGTGACGGTTCTGAATTGGCCGGTTCCGTCTTTCCTGACGGTTATGATTCTGACGATTTCCTCGGCAGAGAGAATTTGGGCGTCGAAGCGGAGAGTGGCTTGGGTGGCCTTAAGGTTGGTGTAGCCCCTCATGTTGTGGGCGATCCACGAGTCGAGTTGGGAGAAGTTGGGGGGGATGAGGTTGGGGCGACTCAGCCCGAGTTGAGGTGAGTTTATGAAGATGTTGACAACCAGAAGAAATGCTAATAGTGGTGCCATTAGTGAATTCTTGGATTTCTTGAAAATGTTTAGGGTTTGATTGATTTGATGGGTAAGAAGTTGGTGGTGTGGGAATGTTTAGAGAGAGAAGGAATTTAGAAAGTGGAAGAACAAAAAAAAGAGACGTACGGACACATTGCTATACGTGCAGCTTGTTACTGAATTTCATGCTTTGGTTTTAAATGATTTCTTGGATTGTTGTATATGCTTATATAAACTTGGTGTTGGTGATGATGCAAGAAAAAGAAAAAAGTTCTTGCATCTCTCTTGTGTATGTTCCACTCGCCACGATTCTTTATTTACTCGTGTACGAGTTATGGGGATGGTTCGTGTGATCAAAGTTTTCTTGAAGGTACAAAGAAGAAGAGAATTTGTATTCTATGTAAAAAAACTTGTCACGTGGTAGAGTTATGTAACAAGTTATGTGAGAGGGAAATTGTGTACAACAATTGTACGTATGCAAGAATATTGGGGAAGGTAAATATTTAAGGTGGCTACTGGTTTATGAGTTGCGAATTAGGATGTGAAGAGGTTGGAGGAATCTGGGTAAAAGGAGGGTTTGGGTGGACAAAGAGGAGAAGTTGGTGTATGACAATACGAGAGAAGTAACAGATGAAGTTGTTTTAAGTAGGAAAAGGGGAGGTTGGCAGCGGAGTAGCAGTTTTTTTTGCCACGCCCAAAATAGCAGAATGTCAACTGCTTCTTGGGAAACAGCGTTTGCAATTTGAAGCTGTATGGACTTGGATACAGTTTGGGCTGAGAATAGGAACTCTAGCCCTTTCTTAAGGGATTCATAAACTTAACATGAGGGCTTCTCACTGTTAAGAGAGTGAAGGTGTTAAAGGTTGGGCTAAGAAGCAAATTGGTGCTATGGGCCTAATGTTTAAGCATTGTTATACCATTTAATATCAAGATTCCAATCACTAGAATGCAAGAGCATACATGCATTCTCTAGCATTGTAACGAGGACATGCTGAAAGGGAATGTTTACTTATTAGGAATGCCGTGTATGTAAGGCAGTGGTAGATTCATGAATCGTACAATTAGTCAATTTTTGCCGAGTTTTGTCAGTGAGGCATTTTGCTCATGAAAAAATTTGGGGTTCCATCATGGGAATAGATCAACCTCTTATAAAGGTTTATTCTTTTACCAATGTATGACTCTCTTACCTTCACATCATTACATGCTCCCTCACATGTGACAAATTTTCAAGTCAGACACGTGAACAATACAGATTGGGTGACGTGGAACACGTGTGTCCGTGGGCATCGCACGTTCACACGTGGCCCAACTTGCATTAATACCATGAAGAAAGTTGGAGTTCCACCATAAAACTAATTGGTAATATGGGAAGTAGCTCAACCTCTTATAACTCTTGTAAGATTTCTCTTTCATTAATGTGCGACTCTTTTACCTTCACATCTTTATAATTCAAGCACTTGATGTGTCTGTCCACATCTAATGAGTCATGATGTCGAAACATGTACATCTTCCGAGCTATGATGTCCAGGCTCGTTGAAATCTGTCCCAGTCATTTTAAAAAACACAACAATTTATCATCTATACAAACCTACGTAAAATTCCCCATAGGACCTCCCGAACCATTTTTTTCTTTTCAGCTTTCAGTTAGTCACATGACCCTATAGGGCCTTAATGGATATGTTGTTGATGCAAGATAAATGTATCATTTTGATTCATGTCTAATCATGCGTTTAAAATCGAGTAATTAGCCTCTTTTTTAGGGTCAATTATTCTAGCTAGCTAGACACTGACTTTTAGAAGAAGCTACTATCAACTGAGAATAAGAAGAGATTTACCTTTTATTCCGCACCCTGCTCACTACAAGAGTAAGATGTTGGAATATATATACGTATACACGTAAACTAACAGCAAACACTAGAACACAATCCAATTAGATTATCGAGTTCTAACCCGCAGTAGACATGGTTGTGATTCAAAAAGGACTCTTCTACTCACTAGGAGACTTGTATTCTCTTATGGTGATAGTCCCAAATACGAAGAGAGGGTTCTCTGTGAGCAGTGAATCCAATTTATAAAGCAAGGTTTACACAACTTCCATCTATCATGGGAGTTGGTTACAAATCCTATTGCTTTCAGTTCCAATTGGGGATGAGTGAGATCAAGTACATGCTTCAGTTTTAATTGGCAGGGGTCACCTCACTTCGCCGAGAAGGCTAATGAGATGACCCCTGCCAATAAGGATTCAAAAATCTTTCTAGACCGAGACTTGGATAGATAACCAGTCAGCCTCGACGTAGTGCTGTTTATACAAACTGAAGGTGCTTCTTGGTCGACTGATTCTACGGCAACAGTGCTATTTATCCAAACTGAAGATGTTCGCCGGTTACCTTCACAGTGCTGTTTATCCAAATTGAAGGTGTGTTGGCGGAAAAAGAAAATAAAAAATCTCAAGATGTTTGAGAAGTTTGCGCATGGCAGTTGTGTGTTGAATTGAAGGTGGCCTCTTCTAAGCTTTCAAAGCCTTGTATTTATAGAATTCGTAGTGCTCTGTTGCCGAAATAGATTTTCCTAGTTCCACTATAACTTTTCTACATCCAGATATTGTGATAAAAACCCTTTGATAATATCACTTCGCCTTAATCAAAGTGTCAATGTTGTGCTCCAATTTGTATTATTATCTTAACATATTAATTGGAAGGACAATTCACTTCCCAAAACAATCACCTTACTTTTCTCAAGAATCCGTGTCCCCCACATGTTGCAAATGCCTATCCAATTTGCAATTCGAATTCATCCCATCTGCAAGTTACCCACGCATACATGAAGACCACGTATCCCAATCTTGATCAAATTGTATTGCCAACTTATCACCACCATGTATAAAATCTTTTCCCATTGTTCCATGTGGCTTTGTACACGAGTCCATTCAACCATAGATCCCATATGCAGTCGACTAGATACCAAGCTGACATCCATCACCTAACCTTATTAGGTTTCCCATTCACCATCATCTTTGGCTTGCAGATCCATGTTAGGCCACGTGAAGTGTCCAAGAATTTGTATAATTTATTTTGTATAAGATAATTAAGATAATTTATTAAAAGATAATTATTATGATTAAGAATCATAATATTATCTCTTAACAATAGCAAATTATCCTAACTTTCTTATCCAACGATTAAGAACCATGCTTACTCAACGGCATCGATCGCTTGGGCCGATGGTGTAAAATCGGGTCCAAACACACATATACAAAACTCAAAACGTGATTTATAATTTAAATGTGCTGACTCACCTTTATCACTAGTTGAGTCCAATAAGGATTCTTACATAAGAGTAATCCAATAATCCAATGATTCTTGTTTCCTTTTTGTCTTGAATCCAGTAACTAAGTCTATTGTCTAATTAATGTTTATTAATGAACACAATTCGTTCGAACTATTTGGCAAACCATGTCCGCAGTCTCTAGTTTTATGGACGGACTTGTTCAATATTTGGTATAGCCGGAAAATAAACACTTTCGCTACGTACCTTATCCAGTGCTTGAGTTATGATCCTGAATTACTATTGTGAAATATATTGTGCATGAAGTAATTTTTCAATGTAACATTACACCACCACATGCCTTAATAGTCTACTCAAGTTATAACATGTTGATTTTAATTAGTGAAGCACAACCACAATATGTATGAAAATTGGAAAACTAGCTAATGCATGCCCCACAACTTTCAACCTCAATTGTTCGAATACACAACAGTGAAGACAAAATATTAACCCAACAAAAATGATATATATATATATATATATATATATATATATTTATTTATACACAAGGAGAATGGGACGATCTGAAGCCAAACAAGGCACCCCGCTCTTTGTGACTATCAAGGGACACCTTCAGAATTAATTATATGTATGGATATCCCAACAACTAGTTACCAGGGGGAACATTCTCTAATTCCTCAACTTGGCCGACCAACCCATTATATCACTGTGAGCCATACATACATTCCACGACCACCAACAATATTTCTCTAATTTTCCAAGTTGTGTGACATGTCTGGCACCACATTCGATATCTTATCCAGTAAACTTGAGGGCATGCTAGGGTTTAATTCATGGCTTCTGCTTTGGATTAAATTAGGTCATGACTTGTACCCTATGTCCACAACATAACTTGTGATCCATATTTCATCACTCCCCGTTGATTTTCTTACACATTTCACCATATCTTCCACACATATTCCTGACTTAATTCCCTATATCATCATCAAGTCACGTAGGAGTCTGAAACGCCACGTGCTCAATCAAACTCGGATCGTGGTGTAAGAGATACGATCCCGCTCTAGTCTCTAGGGCCGACTGGAAAAAGCTGCACTTATCCATTAATACCCAACACACCTCTTTCCCTTTCAGATGACAACAGAGTTACAGATTGATCAAGGCATGCATGCATATGAAACCCTAGTTCAGTAGTTCTAACGGGTTCTAGTATGGGCTGCAGCAGTGAACAAGCTAAATCGTGCGCTGATATCATAGCATGATAGGAGGGGACCCGATTTAAATCGAAATATTACCACCAAATATTAATAACATGTGCAAAACCTGACATGCATGCTGTAGTTTATCTGCAAATCTGATAAATCCTGACCATAAGGTAACATCACCACATGTAATAATTTTGGCGTCATCGAAATCCAATCCATTCCTCTCAAAAACTTTAATGGTCCCCTTCTCTAATTGGTAATTTCACATGCATGAAGGTTTTCAGAAACGTTTACATGTTATTATATAGTCAACACCTCTTCCTCATATTGATGTTCTAGACAATATATTAACAAAAACAAAACGTAAACTTGTAGTTTGAAAATAACTCTACGTGACAGTGTTTCAAACCGAATGCATGCGACATCTTTTTCTTTCTTTGACTTTGCTTTCTTGATCTGATAAAAAAAATGAACTTCCTCTCTAGAGTCTTCCTAGGGCTCACAGTTTGGAGGAATAGAAGGAATGGAACACACAGATTTTGGATAGTGGTTTGTTTGGTAACGTGGGAGATTGAATTTCAGCTTTCAGGCATCACATGTCGTGTCCTCAATTTGGGTTTAGGGTTTTGTAGTCTAGTGCCTACAAAAGTTTTTTGTTGTGTAACAAAACGTCGCATCGCATCGTTAAGTTGATAGAAACTTTCTGCAGGTACGTCGCATTTGCTCTTGTTTTTTTATTTTTTTTTATTTTATTTAATTTTAAATTGTTAATTCTCACATAGATCCAGTCATCAGGTAGAGGACTAGGACTGCAAAATATGATATTAATGTACAAGGAAAACTGCTTTAAAGTTTTAGAGGATCTAGCTTCCTTTTTATATTTCTTAGTTACGTTTTGGATTTCACATGCATGCTTGATGTAGAACTTATCCTATATATTATTTGGCAATCTGAGATATGTAAAATATTTCATATCGAACTTTAAGAAGTTTTACAAAGATGTATAAATTAAGAGATAATATAGCACAATTTTGCGTTTTACTCTCAATATTGTATAAAGATAAGTTTCAAAATTAGATTCTAATTTTTATATCAAATTGAATTATGAATAAAAATTCAGCAATCTACTGCAGACATTGACTGTGGTTGATGAGCTTTTTCTTCTAATGTGTGTGTGTGTGTGTGTGTTTAACGAACTTATAATGAGCCGTATTTGTGGAGTGACCTTTCAACATCAAGTTTATAAAATGGTAGATAATCAATTAACTCTAAGTCATGGCTGGCTCTTTAGTTTTCATGATTCTGACAGACTGCATGCTGCCGTGGCGCGCACCACTGAGTTACTGTACTCTACAAGTTGACGCTTCCTCATG